TCCCCCCTCACTTTCCGTCGTGCCACCCTCCGCCATAGCACTGGCACTAGCATCCACGGCCACCCGCTTTTACCACCCTCCACCTCCTCCTCTCGCTGCGCCATCCTCCCCCGCCCTCCGCCCCTTTCCAACCCCCAGCATCCCTTACCGGTTGGCGTGGCATGCATCTATCCAGCCGTCTATCTATCTCGATGCACTGGGTGGCTGGATCGTAGTGCGAATCCCTAGGACACCAGTTCCTTACTTTGCCGCACTGACCTACCCTTATATTTATACTTTTATTAGGCGACACAAGAGGCGCTTTTTGTTTACCAACAGAAACTCGACTGATCCGGTCACTTCCACCGGATGTAGAACGGAACAAGTAAAAATGGAGGTATGTGAAATATGTTTTGACTTCGGTTCACTAGCCAGTCAGCAGGCATCCCAAACCCACCCCCTCGCCCTGCGGCCGTAAGCATACACAGGCAGGACATATCTCCTATTGCGATATGGATGTTAATAGGTTACGGGGTCCCTCGAGAACTAGGGTGAATCACGATTTCGATAAGGGTTCATATTCTCGTATTTTGCTGTATCCCTCTTCCACTCCTTCGATTCACCCCACATCCGTCCTCTTCGCTCTTCCTTACCATCCTCTCTTGTAATCTGATCTTGTCCTCCCACTCCACCCTCCCGTTCACAGCTACAAATTCCAAAGTGTCTCAACGGCCGTTAAAAGCGCGACTAATGAAAAACAAAAGAAGTCGACAAAGAAAATTAATTCAATTTTAACAAAATACAAGAAGATGACCGATCGACGCTCTTTCTAAATCCGGAATCATGATGGGGTCAGCTATTAGATTGACAAATGAAACTTTAAACGAACGTGCCCGAGTCTGGGCATTTTCTGAACACCGCGTACACATGCTGCGCGACGCACTAGTTCAGACTCTGGTGTGTTCGGTATGTGAACTAGCTGGCGTCCGTGTCTGCGTCTCTTAGGTATATAAGCGCAGACGTCGTCGACTCTACATACGGATAGGTACATGGTCGCGCGGCCATGTAAGTGCTCGTATATACGGGGACTAGGTACTATCTACTATCTAGTAATACTAGGTACTAGGTACTGGGTACTAGGTACGCGCCGCGGACGCCAAATAGCGGTTCGCATATTCGGAGATAGTGCCCGGTCGAGGACGGCGGCGGTTGCTGTTGATTTAGGCCTCTGACGCCGATGACCTCTCTCTCTCTCTCTCTCTCTCTCTCTCTCTCTCTCTCTCTCTCTCCGCCTTCCCAGTCCCCTCGTCGCTCCTTGGTCTATCCGTCCGTGTCCCTAGCTCTCTGCCAGAGCACATCTCGGAACGGATAATGGCCGCGACTGTGCATATACGACACTTAGAGGACCCGTAGAAGCGCGAAACGACGGAAAAATCTTTATCTCTCCTTGGCTCCTCTCTCTCTCTCTCTCTTGGCTCTCTTGAGCTGCTCGCTTGGGATATCGTGGACCGACCGTCGCCGAGACGAATGGCTTTCTCCCTTTCGAACACCGCCGCCTTAACGTTATTCCGCGACGAAACGGGCTCTTTCGCCCGGGAGGCGGGTACGTTCCAGTACTCATCCACGTACCCTACTTCATCGCCGCTTCTCTTACACCGGACTTTCCTTCCTTTTCTTTCTCTCGTTCTTTTATTCTCGTCTTCCATCTCTCTCTTTCTTTCTCTGCTATTCATCTTCCTCCTTCGTTTCTGTTCATTCCACTCATCCTCCTTAGGAAGGAACCCGTCCAAGTCCTCTGGTTCTCGCGGGACTACCACTGATGGTAGGTGGGCGAAAGAGGAGGAGGAAGAGACGGGGATAGAGGAAAAGAGAGAGAGAGAGAGAGAGAGAGAGAGAGAGAGAGAGAGAGAGGAAAGATTCTCGCGTGACTCTGAGCGATCGATTTTTTTTCTTCTCTTTTCCGGCTGCGATCCGATCGCTGCCGGCGCTTGGACGGCGCCGGAAACGCCGAACGCTTCCAATAACATTCAGTTCCGAAGAATCGATTCGTCCTCCTTCTTCCTTCCGTTTCATTTGCAGTCTCCATACTTTCTCTTTATTTCTCTCGTCTTCTTTCTCTCTATTTCTTTCTTGCTTCATGTTTCTCTCGTGACCAACTTGGTCGTGTTCTTCATTTCAATTCGTATACGTGAATTGGCTAATACGGGTTTGACTGTTCCAACTTAATCCTGTTAATTTCACGACCTGACTGGTATTAACGAAAGTGCTCGTTCGATCATCCACGCACTTGCTGAAAGTAGTGCTGATTAAATGAAATTATTGCAACTTCAGATTAGAAAGGTTGAGAGACACTGAGCGCAGCTGCCGCGGCGGCGGTATCTCCGCGTTGTCTGCTCTCTCACACCCTAGGCTTGCGTCCCACGTGGGTGACGGTCGAAGGGGTCGCACGAAATGGGTATAGGGAGCTTACAACCACCCACTGGCCATCTCTATACTACGACTGCTCTCTACGTGCCGTCGCAAAAAAAAAGGAAAAAAAAGCCAGTGCGATCTTATGTTTTAGCGAGAATCTTCGCAAATATTTTGGATGGTACAAGAAAATCGGCTAATCCGCACTAGTGTCGATTCGGCGAGACGCGGGTATCGCATGTCGTGACGAAAATACTTCTTTTTGTACGCTCTAACTTTTCTTTAGGTTATCTCGTTCGAATGGAATCTAGGAGAGTGAGGTTTACTCGACTGAGGATTCCCACAGACTGGAAATGAACGAGTTTTAATATTTACTTGCTGGCTTTTATGTAAGCGGTATACTCGTGGGGTAACACCGAACTGTGCGCACTTGGCGGTATAAGTTTCAAGCCTGTGCTGGGTCTGTTAATGTTTTTCGTAATGGTATACTTGTGTGTTTATCGGTACTCTCTTCACTGTTATTTTTGCTCTGACAATAGATTGATAAAGGTTGTTCTATTATAACGACTAGGGATTGATAGGGATCGGCTGATGGTAAGGTAGAAATTGATTGTATGATATGCTGGAAATTTATGCGGTGAATCATAGAAAATTTCTTGAATACAAATTGGGCGCTGCGCTTGTTGTTTTAAATTAATAATATGTAATGTATGTGGATTTAATTTGTTTTAGCCTGAAAAACTGAAATCACCTACTTCGCTCATGAATAATCAAAGGGGAAATAGCTTTGAATGCGCTACACTTTTGGTCAGTTTACTCCTTGGACAAGGATATAATGCATTTGTTGTTAGCGGATATGCATCAAGGGAACAAGTCTATTGCGATTTGACTAAGAGACCTTGCCCTTATTTACCTAAACCTGCAGAACATGTTCCTCTACCGCCAATTGGAGATACTTCCAGATACAAGTTGAAGTCACCACCTGATTTAAGGAGTCAATTCTTGCTTGAACTCGAGGAAAGAGAACAAAAAAAAATTCAGGATCATCTTCGATGCCAAGAAGAGGAAAGACAGAGGATGATCTCTGTATGTCTTTTGTTTTTTTTTGCAATATAAATATTACCAAAGTTTTTAACTGATATTCTGATATAGGAATTAGAACGACCACTTCCAGATGAATATTGGGGATTTAGAATTCACGCTTGGGTAGTTATATTACCAGAACGCGGTGGTGCAAGAGATCAAGAAGTTCTTGAGCCATTTTTTATTGAACCTTCCACTGGAGAGTCTTATTCGCCTACTGTACACGAGACCAATCTGTTGTATTTGGGAATTGAGAGTATTTGGAATGATTGCAACTATTGGGTCAATATGCAACAATGCACAGAAGGATGTGCTAAGATTAACTGGAATTTGAAAAAGGTTGAACTTTGGGAACATTTGCTTCCTGGGGAACCCTGGACATTACGAGACATAGAAGAGAATGAAGCAGACGAAGACATAAATATACAACAAGACAAGCATCTTGACATGCCAGTTTCATATGTAGAAAGAATCGATGTTCACAGTCTAGGTATGAAATTTAATACCCATATGCTAATTTCTTTTAATTAATCTTCAAATTTTCTCAAAGATTTTGAAAGACGCTTTCCAAATGGCAGAAAATGCATGTTTTACAAGAAAACAAAGGTAGAACTTTATGCTCCTTATGTTCAAATGGATGGTTTGATTCAACGTGTAACACTCTACGATGACTATGAGTACATGAATCCGATAAGCATCTTTGAAAAGTTTTCACAAAGAGCTGATTATTTGATAGAATCCAAGAAAGAACTGGACACCGATCTTGTAGTGGATTCATATAAGAGAGGACGACCCGATGCATGCAAAGGTACAACACATATGCATAGTTTAATAGTAATAAAAAAAACTCACCATGACCCTTTAATCGTATTTATTGAGGAAAATTGATGTATTTTGTAAAAATAGGTGTCACAAATGATTCCCACGTTAGGTTATATCGACACATTTAATTGTCCTCTTCATATTGTAAGACTTTCTATGACAGGTTGTCAGTTTCACAATTCGATACCGAACAGTTCTAGTAGCTTTATCTTTTTATCTTGATCTCTAACTGTCATATTTCATCGTGATTGTCCCCATTAATACAGAAAACATTCATATCGGCAGAACACCGTTATTTTGCAAATGGCAATAATGCCGTCGATCAGGAAAGGACCCTGGAATTTTACGATAACGTTCGCCTCGATGGTCTCTCACGTATTGAGATGCAACTAAGCTTTCTTGAGCAGACTTATATCGGCCGGGATGATCTTCTCTATTGCTGGTAATACAAAAATGTTTTCATTAAAGAACAGCTGTAGGATGTAAAAATCAAACGCACAATTTAAAAATTTAAAATTGTTAATGAAGAGAGCTATTATGCTTTAGAAAAACAAGAAACTGTTATTTCAAATATGAGATACTTCAAAGATAATATTTAAATTTAGAATATCCAGATTTATATGTACATACAAAATGAATATAGATATAACAGAAATCTATAAAAAATCATATTGTATAGAAATAATTTCAAATTGGTGTTTTAAGTAATCATATACTTTCACTTTGGAACAGGCGTGTTGACTATTCGACGGAATCAAAGAATTTCTCAGCATATGATATTCATTATCGCGAAGTGATGGTATATCTAAATTTACTAGAAACTAAGTACAGTAAAATGAATAATTAATTAATTATACAATTCCTGATTATTCACATCAGAAAATAACAGAATGGTATCACAGAGACGAAAGTATTCCTGCTAGTAAGAATATCGCTATTAAAGAATTTGCTGCAAAGGATAATGAGATAAGACTACAGTATCATTATGAAAAAGATCATGGTACAGCAGCTACAAGAACATTTATCAAACCCTCAATGGCTGACAGAGGTGACCGTCTTATATTCAATCCAGAAATGACTCAAGCATACAATGTAAATATAATATATTATGTAGCCCCTATTAACAATTTGGCATCATCATATTCCATTAACTTTTCTTTTATTCATTCATTTTCAAACAGCCAAATCCAATGGCCCCACCTGAAAAGAATTACAACATTTTTAATGAGTTAGAAAAACAATTAAAGGAAGAGGAACGTTCTTTGGCGCATGTGAGAGAGGCTGAGCTGGAAATTTGGACCTTCTTGAAAACACGAGCAGCAGAGTATCTTCTCCCTAAATTACAAGTCTCAGTCTTTGACAGAAACAGGAATCAGGAAGCTAAGGCTGGAATGTTTGCCAGGGTAAATACAATAGAGTAGCTCATACAATTTCAGTATTTTCATGTTCTTCTTTCCTTCTTGCTTAGGAGGAAATGCTACGAGCACAGGGTCAAAGGGAGGTCAACGATGAAATAGATTACTTAGGACCATACTTGGCCCGCATAGGCAATCCAACGCACCTGACAAAGGCTCAAGCTATGAATATCAAACAGGAATGCCTCTCAGATTTAAAACAACTTTACGTCGACAGAGCCAATCATATTTTACAGCTTTTTGAGAAGTGCAACCAAAAATTGGAAAGGAGACATTCATGGTTCACAAAGGTAACTAATATAAATCTAACAATTTCTATTAGTTATGAATATTCTTAAATAAATCTGACTTTACTATTTTATTAAAATCACAAATTTCTCTTTGGTATAGACCGAAGGTTTAACTCGAGAGGAAGAGGAAAGATTTTTTATGGAAGCTGAGGAAATGAATTTTATGCTTCACGCTTTGAATGTCAGATTGTCTCGCTATAGAACATTAGCTCCAGACCGTTATGAAATGATCTTACAGACTATAGAGAAAGATCCACGGCTTGCTGTGCTCTATCAGTAATTAATTAATAATCCATATAATAATCATATTTAATACATCAGGAAGGATGAGAGTTTAGAGCGATAGGAATATTTCCTTTTTAAAAACAAATCGTTTTCGAAGAAAGATACTTTATCCAGAAACACTTTCATATACAATGTATATACTTTTTTTTACATATTATCCAACTTCGAAATTTTCTAAAAAAATGTATCATTATTATATAACACATGTGCGCAAGAGCATACTCATATGTCGCTACCTCATACAAAATCTAATTGTAAGTAATATCTATTGAAAAGACCAAGAACCCATTTGTCCGATACACCGTCCTGAAAGTAATAATCGCGTTACGCATAGTTCAGAATTACATAAATCAAGGTAGAAGAAGGACTCACCCTCATCGTCAAAGGTAGCCAGGGTAAATTTACTGAGTTTATTGGTAAAGCTGCCAGTATTGGTTATCACAGAATTCTCAGCCAGTCGATTAAGATCAGCAGAATCATAACGTCGACTCTCCTCAGCAAATCCAGAGATCAGAGTATCCATCATTATTGCCTGAATGAGATGAAATTTAAAATAAGAGCAAGATGCGTCAATTATAAAAACAAGAATACAAAAGATCTACTGACTTGTCTTGAGAATACTTGTAGTATTTTATAAACCCGTGCACCGTTTTCTCGTACGGGAAATTGTAGGAAAAGACAAGGCAGACAATCACGATTTCCTTCGTCAGAAGGTTTTGCCATTTCCCAGCTTAACTCCGAGTACTTCAATCCCAGCAATAGGCTCTGTAGAATTCAAAAGGTAGATGTACTCGTCGCAAGTTTCTGCCTGCTGAACTTTTGTCGATGATTATTAACTCACGCATTGCATGTCATCGACAATGTAGACTCCAGATGTATTGATCGCAACCAAAACTGGAAGATCACGATGTGTGATCCAGGATGCAAGGCCTCGTACAGGACGTTCAATTTGTCCTTGGAAAAATGCTGCACCGTAGCAAGGTAAACCCCAACAAAACTCCAAATACTTTCGTATAAGTTTTCTAGGATTAGCATTGGTTCCTGTATGATTAGGTATCCTTTTATATTGCTCCAGAAGACGAGCTTCTGGGGCTCCTTTCCCACCAACCAAACCCAATCCAAGTCCTAATCCTAATAGAAGACTTGGTGACGTATAATGATGTGGTAAAAATCGAGCTCTATGTTTTCTAAAGTACGCCAAGGTATGAGTTTGAGAGTTGTACGGACCTAGTTCAATGCGAGCTTGTAAAGCTCCCAAACTAGCATATCGTGCTTGTCCTTCGCAGGGATATCTACCTGTAATATACATTTCAGACTGATAAGATGGTGTTAGGGTGAACTAGTATTATATCCATTATGATTATACCTTCTAGGACATTGTGCCTAGCTTCAGCATAGAGTAATTCTAGGACCTTGATTTCTTTTATCTGCTCCTCGTCCCTACGTGATAGGAATACATTTCTTCGAAAATAAAGTACTGGTTCTTCATCTTCTACACCTTCTTGTGTTCCATATTTATGCAACAGATGACTCCACTTTGCAGCTAATTCCAGTGGTCGCTGTGTCTGTTTTAATTGAACTTCTAATTGATTTGAACAAAGCCACAAGGCAAAGACTGGCTGTCCTATTATTGGTGGTGCTCTGGCTAGTTCTAATTCTCCTTCTGTTTGTACTACAGAGAGGATTTGCTGAACACTTGCACTTCTCTCTACATCCATAGTTAGAAATACTCCAGACATTAGATACACAGCGATACGAATTGTGGGTCTACCCATGTTCAGATGTTGTGACTGGCCTATTAACATTGCTGTGCCGTCCATAAAAATAAATAAGATAACATTGACAATATTTCATAAAAGTCATATAATTAAGTCAGTAAAAAAGATTAACTCTTACGATGCTGAGTATGATTGTCTGGTTTGAAGTCATGTTGGTATCTGCGAACAGGCTGAATCCTTTGATTTGAACAATCCTCTTGTTGATCCATCTTTTTCCTTGTTTCATCGTGAAAATTATGAACCATATACAAAATGTAATCTACCCTACTGCATAATGATTTTAAAAAAATTTATAATTAATGATACTCACCGTAAATTAATGTAAATACTAAAAGTTAAAAGCTTCATCGAAGAACATTTGACTTCTGTATCATATTTTCTCTTGTAACACTAGAGTGTTTTGTACTTGAATTTCTCTTGCACATTTTCTCACTGCTAACCGTTAATCGTCAGTAGTTCGGCTTAAATTATTGTATAAAAAATAAGAATTACTTAATAAGATCAAGAGAAGTATATTTTCTTGATTCACTTTCATAAGTTAGCTCTAGTAACCTGTTCAACTACCAGGCATGCAAACGTATTAACCCATAGCACTGTGGTAGAACTTCGGTAGTAGGGGGTGGGTATTGATTATTTCATCCCTTATGCGCAGGGTGCATCAATTCGGTTGAATTTTAGTCAAATTCATTTATTCAAGTTTTTTTTTACAACGTGTCACTAGCTGGTAAACACTGTTTTTATAATGTTACAAAAAAAAAAAAAGGAAATAACTTTAGCTTCCAGTTTATTAAGTTAGAAACAGAAGAGATATATTCGTAATATACGAAACACAAACGTATTCCTTCTTCACATGCTACTATTACATTGTTGATAGTCCTGATGAAAGTACTATTATCAATCGTGTCGTATGATTTTGAGATCAGAAAATTCTACAGCTTCGAAGCAATCGCCAACATAAAGTTCTCAAGGTACGACAAGATTTAAAAGTCATTCCACAGAAGGAGTAGCACTGCGAGTCAGTGGTAAATAGAAATCTTTTAAATATATTTCATATAATTAAATTAAATCAGCCACGTTCATTGGCATTTCGTCGATTTGAGTTGAATAGTACTGCTCAATATCACGTAGAATTCTGATATCGTCTACTTTAACGAAGTTGATCGAAACACCCTTACGTCCAAAACGACCAGAGCGACCTATTCTATGAATGTACAACTCACGATTGTTTGGCAAGTCATAGTTTATAACGAGGGAGACTTGCTGTACGTCAATTCCTCTTGCCCAGACATCTGTAGTGATGAGTACTCGGCTGTAAAACAGTAAAAAAAATATATTGAAATATGTAGGACACAATGTGATACTTGCACTACATGGTAGAGGGGGGACTTTGTACAAGAAATAACGAGACAGTAAATTATTGTACCTTTGACCAGAGCGGAATTCTTTCATGATATTATCTCTTTCTTTCTGTGGCATGTCTCCGTGCATAGAACACACGGTAAAGTTGGCTTCCCTCATTTTCTCTGTGAGCCAGTCAACCTTGCGTTTGGTATTGCAGAAAATAACTGCCTGGGTTATGGTGAGTGTGTCGTAAAGGTCGCAGAGAGTGTCGAATTTCCATTCCTCACGTTCCACAGCGACGAAGAATTGTTTTATACCTTCAAGTGTCAACTCATCACTACGAGAAAGTATGACAGATTAATATTGTTGTTGGGATAGATTGTCATGAAGTGTTAAACGTCCAAGGAAGACTTACCGTTTTACAAGAATTCGAATTGGATCGGTCATGAATTTACTCGTCATTTCAAGAATTTCATGAGGTAATGTAGCAGACACAAGAACAACTTGAGTCGCAGGTGGTAAATAACGATATACATCATAAATTTGTTCCTTGAAACCTTTGTTAAGCATTTCATCAGATTCATCGAGAACCAACATCTTAATTGCTCTTGTTCGTAGTACTCTTCTTTTTATCATGTCTATAATAATCAGATATTATTACCTTAAAATTTAAAGATTTCCTTCGCCTAGTTATAAGAATAATCAGTTTTAAATATTTACCAAATACTCTTCCAGGAGTTCCAGATACAACGTGCTGACCATAATCTAATTTCCTTATATCTTCTCCCAGATTTGTACCACCAATGCAAGCATGGCATTGAACATTCATAAAGTCACCCAGAGCCAATATAACTTTTTGGATTTGTGTCGCAAGTTCACGGGTTGGAGACAGTACTAGTACCTGAGTTTCGCGAACCTGTGTATCCAACGACTGTAGTATAGCTATAGAAAATGTTGCAGTTTTTCCTGTACCAGATTGTGCCTGAGCTATTACATCTCTCCCTTTCATAATCGGTTTAATAGATCGTTGCTGAATCGCTGACGGTTTCTCAAAACCTGCAATAGAATTATTATTGATGCTTGACCCAATGAAAAACATTTTAAACAAAAAACTTAATATAACATCCTACAAGGAACATTAACAAGAAAGTTACAGTCGCGTACGCTGTTACATATTCCTCACAATAGACAATTAAATTAGAAAACATTTATAAAAGTGTCTGATAAATCGCAAGAGAGAGATTATCCATACGTAGTAACCAAGAATTAATGATTGAAAAATTGGAGCCAATATCGGGACACGTACGTCGTAGCAATATTGAGGTTAGTTTTTTTCATATCAGAAAAAATATCATATCAATACTCACCGTAAGCGTAAATTCCTCGTAAAAGCTCATCACGAAGACCCATATTATCGAATGTGGGGATAACTTCGACATCTTCGCTAGTTTCAAACTCCACATTTGATAAATCTTCAGTTTGCGCGACGCGGCGTGATTTTCCTTCAGCCATCTTGACAGTTGTTCTTGGCTACTGAACGCTTCAGGCACTGTTCGCTGCTGTTCGCTGCTGATCGCGTACTAACCTCATCAAGGGCGCGTGTTTCGTATGTAAGTATAGGGGGTATACAGGGGTATAGGGCCACCTTGGTTACTCCGTGAACCGGGTGATCCGATTATAAAAAGCAATAAAAAGTAACAAATACCAAGGGGTAATGAACCTTTAAATTTGACCAAATCATAATTTCATAAATGTTAATGCATATAATTATCCATTGGCGAAAGAAAAATATAGAATTTGAAAAACAGGTTAAAATAAATGTGTGTATTATGTTTCTATACAATCTATCAGTTTAGATAATACCAGATAATACGTTAGTTTCTTTGAATGAGTCGAACTTCCTGCGCTTTTACGTATTTTAGAGTAATTTTGTATGTAACGCGCTTATAAATGTTATTGTGAATAGTAATATTTTATTTTCTGTAAAAGAAATACGCTGACAAAGTTATACGGTGCCGATTTTCAGAATTAAAAAAATTCAATGGTTGGCGTCCTCGTCTTCTAGGTTGGAAATAATTTCAGTCGTACGACGTTGTGGAGGAATTTTTGCTGTTAAGTGTCTCCAAAACGATGTTATTAATGTCAAATAATCGCACAGTGTAATTACTACATACTCTGCTATTCAGTGTTACTGCAGCAACAGGAGTTCTGTGAAAAATGTATCCGAAAATAAAGATAAGTGAAGTGGATGTATCCGTGAAACTGGAAGAACCTTTAACCAGTGGTTCCTGTTCAAAATTAATTACTGAACTCATCAAGTATTTATTATATCAGAAGCAACAGATCCCATTTTCTTGCGAATCTCTGACACAGCTACAAGCAAAGGCAAAACCAAATGATAGAAATTCTTGGTCCGCCAAGGCTGTTCTTAATTCTTTGAGAAACATGTCTGATCAACTGACCTCGCAGTTACACCTTGAAGGTTGTAATGTCAAGGAAGTTGTAATAGCGATGGGTGCTACAGTGGTATCTCCAAAATTCTGTGTTCGAGTAGAACTACCTGCTGGTATCCTGAGTAGCCAGAATCATTTGGACTATCAACATCCACCTCGCAAGCCTCTTTTAACACTTATGAGGTGCGTATGTGTAGAGATAATATTTTAAATAGCTTTACTTTGGATAGACTACTATAGTTTGTATTTTTATCATTATAATTTTGCTTACAGATCCATGTTTGAAAATACAGAATTTCAAGAAGCAATAAGTGTACCTTTGGCACCAACTAATACTTTTGTTCTTCTTCACAAAAAGGACTATAATATGGTATCCCAATTTTTTCTACCAAAGCCTCAATATATGTTGCCTGAACGAATTGCCAATCGATTATGTATAAAGTTGGATCATATCAATGAAATACCATCAGATTGTAATTGCACTACATTGGTTAAAGTACACCATGATTCCTTCAATGCCAATTATGTTGAAGATTCTATTAAGGATAGTTTAGACTTATCGAAACATTGTACTGCAGACATTCCTTATCAATGGTACCAATCAAAAGAAGTAATCAAAGGTTTCAAATTTGTACGGTGACCTACAGCACATCCTAACGAGGTTGATAATTATGTGAGGATATATTGAACTATTCCTTGCAGTATGCTAATCATACTTGGGCTTGTTGTGCGATATTATTTTATACAAATTAGCGAACTATAAGAAAGAGCACACAAACTATCAAAAACATAATTGCAAATTGGAACATACTTGAATTAGAATATTCCCTAGAAAATACTAGCTATCGTGATAAGCAAATAATTATAAGAGTATCAAAACTAGCATAGAATATTATCTCTTATGCAACATATATCATTTACAAAAAAGTCAGTGTGCCATATACACCACAGACAGTTTTATCATGTGCTCAAATTGAATATCTCTAGATTTTATATTATTCGTTTATCATGTCTATGTATTAGATGCGAGACACATAAGAATAATAATTTTAAAGTAGGTATTATAAATGATGTTATACAATGTACTTAGATAGATTTACATATCCTTCTTTTATATCCTTTGACATGTTGCAACGACTGTAGATAAAGTATTCTTTTAGAACAATAATATGTATAAGTATTTGTTATAAAAAATACTGATTTGTTCTCTACTGCCATATGTTAGTTTTTTAGAATATTATATGATTAAAAATTTTACTGAACAATGACTGCAGAACTATGAATTATGAGACATCATAAACGTTGACGACAGAGCAGCATTGCCATTAGTTTTAGATAAATTAATTTCTATTATAATTTTATAGTACAATTATCTATGACCATGTCAACAATAAAACAGTTTTACGTCAAACATAGTTCACAGTGGTATTAAGATTAAGAGGTCATAAATACCAAAAGAATTTCGTCCGTTATCTCCTTGCCAGTGTCATCTCAGTACTTATATGTTGTAATTTTCTGATCACTTATGGATCGAATAACATAAGTCTAGGGGCAAAGAGATCAGATGCCACAATATTTGTAAAAATAAAAAGAAATAATTTTATCCAATGACATTAGTCCACATAAACATTATTATGTCAGAGACAAATGTGTATTATCCCCAATAGAATATAGTGTTTAGCATTCAAGTTCATAAAATTGTAGTAGGCATTCAATTGATTCAGGATAGTAAAACATATCGAAATCTGCATCCTACATCAGTTCCTCTTGAAACAGAATACGTGAGACTTTCTGTGAACATGGATAAATTAAAGTGTTTGACTTCTGAACAATTAGAATCTTGGATAAAAAAGGTTTTATAAAAATATTGGGCATCTGCAGCCATAAGGAATTCAATGAGTTGAACGTGGCGTATAATGAGCTTTTTGACCGGAAACAACGTGAGAATGTCAAAGGATAGAGTCTGCGTGGGTAGGAAACGACATGAAGAAGGAAGCTGGTTACATAGACTACACCGTAAGTTAATATATGAGAAAGTAATAAACTAATAAATGTAGTTTAATTAAATTCTACCTGAAATTCTCTTTTCTGCAGGTAAAGTCGATCCACAATTTGCAAATGCACAGTGCTGTCTTCACAAAGGCAATAACGAACCCCAAATTCTTGGACGTCGTCGAGGGACATCCTTCGTACCGAGGACATCTTGCTTCATCATACAAAGGCACACATTAAGCCACCAGAAAATGGTGCTCCATACCTTGTGCACCAGGACTATCCGTACTTCCCATTCAAGAAGCACACAATGATTGCTGCTCTTCTGCACATGGATGATACCGCTCCTGAAAATGGTGGCTTGGCTGCTTACCCAGGAAGTCACAAATTAGGGCCCTTAGAGGATTTTGGTACTAAGGATCAAAAGGGTGAAGCTTATCACTGAGTTGATCCTAAGAAATATTCTCTCTCCGAAGCCACCCCAGTAACTGCCAAACAGGGTGATATTGTATTCTTCTCGTACTTGCTACTTCATAGGTCTTATTTAAATCTGTCCAAGAAAACTCGTCGCATGTTCCTGGTTCAACTGAGAGTAGCTGATGATCAGCCTGTTGAACACGTTCATCAGTCTTCTTGTCAAAATCTAGTACTGCGGGGAAAGAATATTCATTGTAAGGCAGACATGGCTTCTAGATTCCAGGAAAGTCTTACTGTTACTAATAAATGAACAGGTCTATTGCTTACCAATAATCTACTAGCTAATACAGCCAGCTTTTTTTGTTTATATGCCATATAATTTCCTTGAATTTTATTATGTAACAATTATAACATATCATTATCATTATTGCAAAGCGCGCAATTGCTTCTCAATGTAAACTTCAGGTATTATTTTGATGCTCAATTCATATTTTCCTCTCGCGTTACCATTATGACTTCAAGTTTTTGATTTTGTGAAGTATTTTATAGGTTTTTGTAATTCTTTATTTGATATATTAAGATAAGGACTTATAAAAAAGCGAGTATTTCGCGTCTTGCACTTTCCATAACATGATTACATGGTGTAAAATCTTTATTATATTTTTAAAGGTCAAACTATGACTGAAGAACACGATTCTCTTGAGTTGCTGAATGACATTGATAATGGTAAAGCACTATAATTTCTATTTCTATTTCATAATCATACAATTACCAGCAAATATTTTGTCAATATAAAATAATAACTCAACTGGAATATCGTTCGTAATAGTAACGCGATTCTTCCATAGGAAGAAATAAGGAGAATAAATTCGATTATCGCGATATTGATTTAATTATCAATCAGTCTGATGAAGAGGAACATCTTTATCGCGATCATTTTATCCACAATGCGATACTTGAGCAAGACGATCGAAATTCTGATGCAATCGAACAAGAAGCAAATGATCTATTAAATAACGAAGAAGGAAGTAGAGAAATATTAGAGGCAATACAAGAAGCTGAAGAAGACGCGGGCGAGAAAGATGCGGACGAGAAAGACACGAACGAGGAAGATGCAGACGAAGAAGACGCGGACGATAAACAAAAGTGTATAATTAAAGAAAGTGACGAGTCAATAGAAATAATAAAGAAAGACTTTATTGAGGATAAAGTAATTATATCAAGATTATCAAAACTCGATGAAAGACTAACGAGAATAGGTAGACTCAAGGAAGTAACTGAAGAAGAAAAAAATCTTCGGATGAAAAACGGTTTTCTGCAGAAAAAATATAGCGAATGTGTAAAAAAAAATAAAAAATACGATGGATTAGAAAAAGTAATTGATTCTGGGATACGCAACCGTGAAAGGTATATATATACTGTAATATATATTTAAAGAAAATTATTTTGGAATTTTCATTAACGTCAGTTATGAAGAAATTCTCGAAGAATACATGGAAATCAAAGTCGATGTGGAGAAGAGAAAGCCAGGTTATGAGACAGAAATTTCGAAAATGGAAGAAGCTTACAAAAATCAGGAAAATGAATTTAACATGAAGTTTAAGGAGCTTCTGTCACGTGAATCGGAAATTGGTAATAACGTAATCAATTCTAAAACCGGTAAGGCATTCGGTGAACGCGAAGTGAACAGCATGATTGAACGACAAAAGTCGCGGGCTTCCGAGTTAGCTGATACGAGATTTACTTATTTGAAGCGACGAAATATTCTAAACCATCTTTTGTCAAAACTTTATGAACTTGACAATCTTGGAATTGGATACACGACAATAGAATACGAGCAAATGGTAATAGAGCGACAAGGTGTGCTTGAAAAGCTTGATGAACGAGAAGAAGAAATTAGAAAAATACGTGATAAATGCTTCACGTATGTTGCAGTACGTTATGACAATTATTTAATTTTTATTATTCATTGCAAGGATTCTTGTGTTACATGTGTATGATATTATGTGATTGTCCATATAATTATGTAGGTTCTGAGTCATATTAAAGAATCTATTGCTAGTATTGCTCGGGATATCCAAGAAACATCCGTACTATTATCAAAGTATTCGGAGATTCAAAATTATGGACGATACGCTACGATGAAACGGAAGTTGGAAAGAGACATCACACGCAAACACAACATTCAATTGCGGGAAAGCGGCGGACTACTTGCTCATCCGGATTTGCTCAGCAAAATGGAGACCGACATCCTGCAGCTACAGTTTTTCAAGGAGAAGATAGAGTGTCTGCAAGCTGAAGTTTATCTTCAGCATACACAGGCTGATATGATAAAAGCTTTCTTGAAGAGGCAGAGAAACCATAGTCAAAGCCCATTAGGGTCCTACTGATGATAGCTTTATAATTACTGGTTGTAGCACGTTATACAATATACAACTATATATATTTTATTTATTGTCAATTGTACAGTCTTTGCCATGAATATTATACCCCATATGTAACTTATAATATGTTTGTATTTATATATTGACTGATTAACATAATATTATTAAACTTAATTATTAGATTGATTTCAGTTGAATGAACCAAACTGCAGATATTCAGTGCAGAAAGTCAGGAACCCCATACCCTGGGGCTGGACGCCAATGAATAAAATGTATCTAGATATCCGAATGCAGAGTGTTGCGCTTATTCGCGATAACTTCACAAATCCATCTTGAGAATCCTCTATTGAGCCTATATGTATATCGGATCGGTGCAGATTGGAGCAGCCGTGGGAGCTGAACCAAGAAACGTAGGAACGCGCGGACCGCGAACCGCCACAGTGTTGTCGACGAGAAGGCTACACGAAGGCGAGGATTTCTCATTTTTTTACGTCGAGAGGTTGAAAATCACGAGAAAAAGGATGTTGGACGCGCGTTTCGGAGAATTCTTGGCCGCGTGAGGCCGATCGAGGAGCTCGTGCGGGACTATCGCGAATTGAACGAAACACATGTGTCGGCTGAGCCGTATTCTACATAGCGAAGTGCACTCCCGTGTTTGGTCGTCGAGGATCGCCTACTACGAGAGCTAGCTCATCCTCCGGGTAGTGTTGCACGTAGCTGGACCTTCTGTTCGATCCTGAAAAAAGCGTTGAACGATGGGCTGCCCTTTTGGAGGGATATAGGACACGTTACGGAAGGCGGCAGTGCGTGGGTGGGTGGGTGTCTTGCTGGCGACTGCTTCACTCCTTCACACTGAATTCCTCTCAGGAATTTCATGCCAAACACTCCTGAGAATCTCATGGTATGATATTAATTGAGCATGGTTTTCTTTAATATATTATTATGTATTAATGGCTTTTTTTTTGGTAGGAGATCCATTACCCAAGAGAGCGAAGGATGCTGGTACTCATACTTCAAGCTAGACTGTTACGATAGACTGGGCTGCATTGTAAATAATTTATATGGATACATAGTGGACAAACAGAATGTCCTGCTATTTATCTGATTAATTTATAAACCTTATGAATCTTGGACAAAATTTTGGATCTGATACAGGATTAGTATTCAATCTGTTTTGATTGGGATACTATATTGGATGCTGAACACAGATTATTGAAATATTATTTGGCAAGTGTTTTATGATACTTCTGTGTATTCTTGGGTTGTTCTTATTTTTTATTTCTTTTTATTAGATACTTGTTGATGTCGAGTGACAGTCAAGACTGGGTTAGCTAGAGCTTTGTAGCTCTGGTATTTTATATAGCTACGAGAGGACACTCAAGGGACCTAGGACGGTCCTTCCATACACCAGTTTCTTTGATATCTAGAGTCTAAACTATGCAAGGTTAAACGGCGGAGAATGGGTCGCAGTAGGGTGTCAGCATGCGTGAGAAGCCAGCAGAATGTCACACTCACGCGGGTCACGTGAGGGGCGCGGCAGACATGTGCTCGCGTGATCCTCCAGCCCTGCATCCAGCGCTTGCCAAGGCCAATGGTAAAAATTCGAGTCCTCAACCGACCCATCACGCCGAAGCACGAATCGACAACGTTCTCCCGACACCTGGGGGGCGACTGAAGTTCTTCAAGGATGGAAAGTTCATCTTGGAACTGTCGCACCGCAGAGATGGTGAACGCACCACGTGGTTTCCTGTTCCAAAGAAAACATTTTGGCCGCCTGCTAGTACTACCCCTAACAGGCAAGAGAGTTCCACCTCCCTCAGTGGTAAGTAATTTACTGGAAGTGCCTTAATACCACTCTTCTTTGTCCTGCAGTGTAATGTAGTTCCATGACAATCGAAGGTAAACCTTTGTTGCTTTCAGTTTCCGACGATAACTCATCGGTTCAATCGAGTCCATGGCAGAGGGATCACTGCTGGAAACAGGCGAATCCCAGGCGCAAACTTTGCACGGAGTTCAACTTTTTCTACCGCAGAAATCCGCGGAATCGTCTGTGCGCTCATCCTCGCTTAGTAGCGCGAAAACGTAGACGGCCATTGGATCCAATGCCTCTACTCCTGGTATCAGACTCGAGCATTGGGATGAGTACAGGCACAGGCTTCACAAGAGTCCATCGTAAAGCAAACGGTGTCCCGACAGGCAAGACCCTGGGTCTCATTGTCGAGAAGTTAGCTCGACTTTTGGATCCTAACGTGGTGTCGCCCCGTAAGCGTATCCTTCGTGAATTGGAGAGAGTCACTCTCGAGGATCAGGCGTCAAAGAGGCGTGCTACTCCACAGCCGATAAACACATCAACCAGCGCTCCTGCACCTTCGCCGAAGCAGCTATCCTCTTACAGTATAACCAGTATCTTGGGCGAGGACAAACCAAGTGCGGAGCCAGGCTTCCTGAGGAACTTGCTAAAGCCAGAGGACAGGCAACCCATTAAATACTCAACAAGTCATCCTTATCCAAGGGCACGAATCGAGCCGTACGTTACACCGGCTAACACGTCTATCCATCATCCACTTTACGGGGTCCCGATGCTACCACCTGGGCCATACAGGGCTCCACTTTGGATGCACTATCCACCGCCCGTCCATTATCCACCACCAATGCCGCTTTATGCTCCGGCGCCGCCTCATCCGCCATCTCCTCCTGTTCACCATTACAAAGACTACAGGGAACAAACTCTCACACCTCCTTCAGGTATGTCTCCTTCTTGAGGTCTATCTACATTGGTCACCTGCATCATCTGTCAAAGAATTCTCAGCCAGTCTGCTGGCTCAGAAAGATAAGCCACTGACTTAGTAAAAGACAGATAAATGTTTGATCTGCGATCTATTATCTGTCTCCTTGTGTTCTAGATATGCCTCTGAATCTGTCGAAGCATGCGGGTTGAATCTCAGGATCCCAAAAGTTGGTGCCTTATCGATGGACAAAATTATGTGAACACTGCCCGTGCAACGACAATGCGATATATTAGTATTTTTTTATCCATAAACAACAGTAACGTAGTAGATAGGGATTCGCAGTCAGATCATTCACGATCGGCTGAATATATACTTGTACATACGAATGCATAAGCTGTCACCCTCGATGATAGGTATTTTATATTATTATATCTATTAATTGATTAACGAATAGTATTAATGCGGATTCTGTTGGAGGTAAAGTGCCATATTGGATAGTTTGTCTGACGTAAAACTTCGTTATTGCGACACATCGCGGAACAGGTCCTCCCCTGTTCCGTAAATCGCTACGCTTCCGAAGAATTCAATACACTCTTCGGAACAACGTTAAAGTCAAAGACAAAAATAATAAGACAAATTACGAAATTGAATAGAGAAAAGAAAAGAAGACTCTCACATCGTGCAATCGTCCCAATAAAGTTTTGCGACAAACACTCGAGTATTCGTGTCACTTTATCTGCAACTATACCCGCGTACTCTATGTTGCAAAGTACGACAGAGCGGCGTTAAGAGAAAGATGAAGACAAGAAAGAAAAAAAAGAAAAACACGGAAGACATGCTGAAAAGGCGAAGAAAAGGATTGTAAGGCGCATCCTATTTTCATCCCTGTGCATCTCATTTACATATTATCTTGTTATTAATTCTTATTAATGTTACTGTCATTATTATCATTATTAAACGGTATGACATTAGAGGTATCGTAAGAAAGACATAGGATTATGTACAGAGCAGATATTACCTACACTTAGGATATTAATTATTATTATTATTATTATAAAATCGTAATGCATCGGTTAATTTAGATTAAAGGTATCTATTCATAGCGGACAAACTATCTTTATTTATACGATATCAGCGAAGACAGCAAAATTAACCGGTAATGAGCGTGGAGTGTGCCTTAAAAATAGTTTTCTAAAGTTCATCAAACAAAATTGTACACATCCCTTGTCGAGACATTATTATTATTATTATTATTATTATTATTATATGTACATATACATGAACGTAATAACGCGTATCTATACACTGAGAGGAAACACACGTGCATACGTATACATTCGTCACTCTATTTATTGTTAATGTGATACACCGAGAGACATTTGAAGAGAAAGGCAAGTTCATTTGAGCTCTAACAATTAATAAATAATCTTAATTATTCATTTACATAAAAAATTCATGGATTCGAAAGATGATTCTTGAGCATGCGACCGAGCGTGAACAATTGTATAGAAAGACTAATTTCATAAATATAAATATTTCGTATACTATAATTGAGTTTTAGTATTGACTAATCATGTTACCGGTTATTTATAATAGGTCCAAGAGATTACTAATGACTCGTATAATTCTTGATCTTCCTAATAACGACGTGTTAAGTCAGTAAAATTGTTTCACATAAGCGATACAAGATTTTTGCGGGTAAACAAATGTTTTGTCTCGACCAAATGGCGCGATACGAAATCACATCTTTATATTAATAAAAAATATTGAATTTATAGTGAGATCGTAGCTCTTAATTGTCTTGCGTATCCTTCGAATCCAGCAGTAACCGTTTTTCCCGCACTTTTTTTTTTTTAAACGCGCCGCCATCTTGGAACTCATTGCCGCTGCGCCATCATTAACCTCGACCATAAGTTAGTCGCTGTCGGGAACTCGCAGTCGTTACATGTAAAGCCGTTTGTGTCCATTCCTCTTCCTGTTCGATTGATGTAATTTAATATTAATTATTCGAAGTCATTTAATCGTACGAAGCTGATTCATTACAATCTCTTGAACTAAGTGACAAATGTGATCGTATAAATAACCAGTGGCTTTATCGTACCAATCGGTACCCGCGTGTTATTCAAAGTAGTAACGTGTGGAGCCACTGAACTTTTCTCAGGAAAAGGCCGGCAGCCCGGCACGCCGTGCGTAACGTCGCCTCAAGTCGCCTCGTGCGATGCGTGAAGCGTAAAGCGTGATGCGTGATGCCTCTGTCGTCGGAGTGACTCTCTCGAGCTACGAGGCTACGAAAATAGTGGTGACTCTCGTAACTTTCTGAAAGAGAAGGAGAGACCGGAATACCAAGTCTCTATGTGGTAGAATCCGAGTGAAGTGTTCCTCGAGAAAGTGATTCAAAATACGTCAGCCATCTTGCTCGTGTTCGGAAGTCGAATTCGGCAATAGTCGGTGGATACATCGGCACCGGCAGCGGTAGCTTCGCGTTCGCTCTTGTTCTCCCTCTCGCCCTGTTCTCTTGATCGCACTCTCTCCGTTACCCGGTGTCTCGTTTGCTCTTACTCTCTTTTTGTCCCCCGCCCCTCTCCCCCGTGTCCCCACCACTACGGTTACGGTAGCGAGCGCAGTTGCGTCTGAGAACGCGCAGTCGCTGCTCTTGGCAGTAGAGGGTCCGTGGTCTTGTTTTGTGATATCCGTTGGCCGGGTGGTCGGTTTTGCGCGCGTTTTCCAGGGTAAAATCAGTGGTAGTCGCTGGTGAGTGATAGGCGAGCGTGCACAGAGCGCGAGTGCACATCATTGGACGCAGTGATAATAGGGATTTTTTGAATGCCCGCGAGTGCGAGCGAAACAGCGAGCGATCACTCCGGTGGTGGGGATCCTCTCCAGCCGCCTGGCTGCTCGTGCCCCTGCTTGCCAAAATGAAAATGGCGGTGTTCTGTTGAACGCAGCGACGGCCACTGACGATGCTCGTTATTTTAACGGACACGTGAACCGTCTGTGTGCGCGAGAATCGGATCCCGTGTGCTGATAGACGCGTGCTGCCGAGACTGGACTGGAAGGAGAGAGAGGTAGCGGCCCCGTGGCTTAGGGACACTGGACGACGGCCAAACAAACACGATGAAGTGACACGGGTGAAGTGTTGACTCCACGCGCTCTCTCTCTCTTTCTGTCTGTCTCTCTCTCTCTCTCTCTCTCTCTTTCTATCTATCTCCTCTCCCGTCCTCTCCTCTCCTCTCCGCTCCCTGTCCCCTTTCGTCCGTCCCTCTCGGCTCCCCTTCTCACGCGTTCTCTCTTTCACACGGAGTGCCGAGAAGTGGAGAAGTGTCGCCGATACGCATTGCGAGGGAGGTGGACAAGCCTTCATGCCGATGCCGGCCGAATACCACGAGAGCCACGGTAACCACGAGAACGCCAATTTCGGGCTCGCGGCCACACAGGACGCCAGCAACATGACGGCCAATATGTACCGGGTGGGAGGTAAAGTATCCAATGTTACAAAGGCGACACCGATCGCCACGGCGGATCGCGTCGCTTCCCGAGCCCAGCTTTAATTAGCCCAAGAAATTAATGTTTGCAAATGGCATCGCGATGGCGTCCCCTGTCCCCATTCTCTGCCTTCTCCATCATCAGCGGCACCGCCACCACTACCGTGTCCTCTTCTTTTACGTCCTGATCCTCTTACTCCTCCACCTTCTCCTATACTTTGCCCCTGTCCCTGTCCTCTACCTCCTCCTCCTTCTCCTCCTCCTCCTCCTCCTCCTCCCTCACGTCACCTCCTCCTCTTCTATCTCGATCTCCCCTTGTCCTCCCCGTGCTCACCCTCGCGTCCCCGTACGTCTGGCCCCCTGTCCAGGTCATGCTAATTCCTCGCCCGATGAATTTACCGATTAACGTTAGGTCCTCTTTGTAGTTTTCGACCGTTTATTACGTACCCTCCATCCTCCCAATGGTCTACTCACGGATTCCGTTACTGTCCTCCAGGTCCCACACCTTCAGGCATCGCTTTTATATCACTAACACAATATTTATTCGATTCTTTCCTAGTCTACCTACCCGACCTTATTCATTCACCTATTATAAACTCAGCCACGTTATTAGGTACCTCACTACGCCAGTACCTGCTCGCAGGCTGCCAACGTACGCTTAACCACCTTTTATTTTCTCTATTCGGATTCACAGGACTCGACTCCTATCAAGAACCTTATAAGTCCTCTTATAGTCATAAGCAAAATCAACTCTTCCATACGTTTACTTTACTTCCCTCGACACCATTGTAACGCTTTATTGTTCAAGGGTTTTTTCCCTACCGTTAGATATACTAAATTTTCAGTAATACTTTTGGCGCGATAGCCAAGTTCGTAGTTACGCTTACGTTCTCACTAGTTCTCTCTCTTTCTTTTTTGCTTTTTTTTTCTCCTTATCGCTTCCCGTCTCTCTATCTAATTATTCTCATCGTTAGTACACTATTCGTGAATCCATTGTAACGACCAAAGTCGACGAAATACCGCTGTCGGAATGTACTAGGTAGCCTCGAAATTCTCGTATATTAAATATATCACTTGATTATATCTGTCATCCCGATCGTTAATATTATCTTTATCAAGGTAAATTAAAGATAATTAGGCTCTGTGATATACCCTGTAACGTCACGATGGTACTTTTTTTTATGTTTATATTCTAATGACAGCTGAACATTTTGTTTATCTCGCGCATATCGCAAGCAATATCCTAATGCTTATAAATTGTCGTGCATTCGTGTAATATAGGCACATGGAATGACGCCCGGTTGCGTTATGTTGAAAATAATGGATGCTTCTAGGCAGGGTGAAAATTCTATAGGCACGAAACCTTCTGTCCCCCTCCACTTGGACCTGTTTTTCCCCCCTCCAGGAATGTTCTGCACATTTGTACCCCTCGTCCCTTTGCCACTTCATCCTCATACTCGTCCTCGTCCTCAGCACTCAGCCAGCACCGAAACCCTGAATCCCTGAATCTCTTTCCACTCGGAGTAAAACCGTTAGCACCGTATACTTCCCTTGGACGTATCTCGACAGAAAGGGCATTATTTGAAAATTATATTTCGTTTGTATCATTGATACACCACCAGGTGGAACTCATGATTATCGTATGTATTTTGATGATTAATCATTATTTTTCTCTCTTTTCAGATTATGTCTACTTTGAGACGTCTTCGACCTCCCCCTATCAGATACGAAGAATAGAGGAATTACACAAGGTTAAATTCAAATTTTGTTTTTCTCGAATTAGCGTCTATTAATTTTCTCTGGTTATTCAAAATTCATGGGAATTTTTTATAATTTCGTTCCTCAAGGGAACACGTGTGTTATCAGGAGTAACGCTAACTATATCGATCACGATGTCTGTACGTTATAAGTTATCTTGTGCAAATAATGGCTCTGTGTAAATACATTTTTAATGTGTTCGTTTTGAATTTCTCGAAAAATTCGTACAACTTTTTTTTTTTTTTAATGAACAAGAATTTAATTTCGTCAGAGAGACGTGCGCAGTCTATTTCGTTTTCTAATTGAATTTATCTACTTTTTGTTATTCGTTTTAGACGGCCAACGGAAGCGTGGAAGCCAAGGTGATGTGCTTCTTCAGGCGAAGAGATTTACCTTCCACCCTGATTATGCTCGCGGATAAGCACCAGTGTGAGTAATGCTTGTATTTATATTTTGGCATAGGATTTATAACTGTATTATTTACCAGAATCCGATAATAAGTGAACCCAATGACATTAGAAACGTTGAACCAGTGTATGTCTATACCATCGAGTCAAAGGAGAAACGTGACACTAGTTTTAAGTAATGTCTTTTTTTTTATTGATAACATTGTTACTAATCGCATATGCGTGTAGAACGATAAATCAAGTATAGGGTTTATATGCAATTTTTGTTTAAAGTTAATTCAAAGCATCGTTCTTGCAGGTATCAAATACGTAAGGATACGATTTCTCAAGATGTATATGTATATATGGTGGTATATATACATATATGTATATATGGAGAAATACACGTTTCTCGCATTCAAGGAATACTCAGGCTCACGTATGCATTTCTAACAATTTTGAAAAATATGCTACCCGCATTTGTCTCGGCGCACTCACGAGTGTGGACCAATCCGGTTTTGGAAGCGAGATAAGAAAGTAAGAAAACGCCTCTCGCACTTGTCTTCTTACGTGATACGCGAAGGAGAGCAACGTCTGCTAGCACAAACGAAATGGCGTCGCCCGGACGCCGAACTGGAGAATTATTTTATTCTTTCGAAATTTTACGAGCAATCAGGATCTTCAAGAAAATCGAAGCTTCGCTTCGTGCCAGTATCGCCGCTAGAACGGAAATGAAAGAGGAGTCTTGTTGAAATTCTTGAATGTCCCTCGAGGGTCAAGAGGTGGAAAAGGACCTTTTTCGTAGACGTTCCTACAGAGAGAACTAGACTCGCCACTCATTTGAGGCATCACGCGATGCTCTTCGCGCGACAGAGTCGACTAAGGCGATATACCCATCCGGGTCGGCAGGTCGTGAGGTTGTCAGTACAGTTGACCCTGGTACGCGAGCATTAGGCCACCCCGTGAGACGGGCAAAGCCGACGAAAGGGTAGTGTACGATTTTCGAAAAATTTGTATTCGTTGCAATGGTAAAAATAATGAGACGCGAGGATTTGGGTTGGGGGTCGGGCTGTCCGGGAGGGCCACAGGGTGAAAAGTGGGTGGTTGGGAGGGATGGGAATGTATAATAAGTAAAGTTGGGGGGTGGTAGCGGGAGGATGGGGGTTGTATCGATCTGCTGGGGGTGGGATGGAGGTTCGACTCCCTCGCCCACACAGGCCCCTTTTCCAAC